TGTATTGCAACCTACATCTAACTTTGAGGTTGCCACTAAATTTTATGTAGATAATCATACCTTTATTCTTAGTCAAGTTGATACAAAAGACAATAATATGCTTTCAAGAACTGAAAATGGATTATATGGTCCTCCTGCTCTTTTATTGAAAAATGATTTTTATGATTCTGATAATAAAAGAATAACTAATTTAAAAAATCCAATTAATGACACAGATACAGTTACAAAATCATATCTCAAAAATTATTTTAAAATTTACTATTCATTCATCTTAAGANTAAGAATTTCGCGGAAACACGAAATAATTTGTCAATTCGGACGAAAGCGCAATTGCCAGCTGATTGATCGGTTTATTTCTTTGGCAAAAGAAAGGGACCCGCCGGTTTAGAAGTTCCAAAAAATTGGTTTTCTTTCCTTATAACTGTATTGTATTTTATTGTAAATTAGGTTAATAACTGGATGTATGGAATAAGGCGAAGCAACGCGCGCGCGCGTAGATACGAGATCCCGACGCTTAAGAACATTTTAATGTATGGGCTAATTTGGAGAATCCGTGCTTCTCACATGGACAACTGTATGTGGCCGGCTGACGCGTCGGAAAACCTTCCGATTTATTCGTGTACGCACCAGACGGAAAAACAAAAAATATCGTGTATCCACGAGCACTCCAATAAATAAATAGAATTGAAACTTTGAAATGTTTTCCCGATGAAAATGAATAATAATAATAAGTTTCAATAAAAATGATAAAATGTAAATTTAATTTCATCATAACAAGTTTGCTTGAATTTCGTTTCTTCTGAGATCGCAGCAATGCGCGACGGGTAAGCTAGTTTTCTATAAAAGAAGTCACCCTTCAACCAGGCCGCTTTTACTGACCCTAACAGCCGACTCTTTAGCCACGCGATAGCTCAGTGTCAGAAGATACTAATAGTTTCCGCCCGATGATAGGATTTGGTCCAGAATAAAATGAAAGGTCTACATTAAAAGAAGACGAGGTTCTCACCACGTCCCAGGTAGTGTACTTAGGCCTATCTACGTAAGCTCTCTCATTCGGCGGCCATATCCTAAGATCTTAGCCAATAGTTAAGTGTAAAGACTGTGGAGGAAAAAATCTACGTAGCTAGCCCGTCCTGATAAAATTCGAACCCGCGACCCAACAACAAGTGTTCGGGGAACGGAACCACTCTGCCACGGGTGGCCCTATAAAGGCCACTTTAAAAATTGTTGGCATCCTAAAAGCAGCCGCCGTTTTATGTAATGAAAATAATTTTCCTATACTCAATTATGGTTCGTTTCGACCGATTTTCGTGTCGAAATTTTTGTAAAATTACTCCCGAAAGTAGTCTTTTTGTAATTGTATTTGTTTGTATTCAATCAGTAACAATTTCAATAATTGTTTCTATACTTGTTTTTTCTCCCTCTATAAATTTTTTAGCACGCTCCACTAAAGTGGAGAAGTGCTTATATTAGCACTTGTGTGCGCTTCAGATGTGATCTGTCAGATTTGCACGCAAATGCTCCATTCCATCCATTTATTGCGCATTTCCACGCTCGTGCAATGATTTCACTTTCGTTACCTACGGATGCGTTTGCAAATTGTAACAGGTTATGTTGTAACTGGTGTTACCGGTAACTACCACCGGTTACAGTTTCCAAACGTGCCCTAAGTGTTATGTTCCATTCAATCCATTTATTGCACGTGTCCACTCAAATGGGTGAGAAAAAGAAACCAAGCATCTTGCATTTCTTTCTTAAAATTAATACTTCGTGTAATCAACGTCCAAATTTCTCCACGGACCGTCGTAATTTTCTTACAAACCATTAGCGGTCCGCGGAGCATCGGTTGGTGACCGCTGCTGTAGAACACGAGGTTGACGCTTTAACTGCCTTGGCCTTCGGCTATCGAGAATTCTGGTTTAATTCCGTGCTGGAGCTCAAAAATTTTCTTGCTTAAAACAACCCAGATTCCTTGAACCTCGTCGTCGTGATCGTGCCCGCAATAGCAATGACCATCTGGCCATTGCCACTGTAGGCATGATTGTGAAGACAAATGGAAAAGAGAAACAATCGGGACATTCCAATTTTCAACGCGAGTGTTGAGTGTTGAAGTCAACAATTTGACGTCATCAACGACGTTCCAACTCGAGTACAAAGTGCTTAGTTCCCATAATTCCATTCTCAGCAAGATGGATTCCNTTATAGGAATCTACGTTATAGGAACTCGCGTTATAGGGGGGTCTACTGTATTACAAGTTCTTTATGGATTTCTGCTGTTATTTTACACACTTCCAATTATCCTCGGTGTTCGTATCGTAACAGTAATCCGTGTAGTTAAGTCTCATTACAACTACCGCCTGACAATAATACTTAGCTAACGCGGGCGAATCTTAATCGAACTTAAATCAATAGAAAGAGTATAGAAAGAAAGGGAAGTAAGAAGAGTTATAGGACAGATGGGTACCCAATTTTTTGGCGAAGATTCTACGCAGTTCCTTGTGTCGACTTCCAATGCTCGTATGTTTTCCTCTTTTAAAATGACTTTTTCTTAGGGTTCGCTTCCAGATCTATTGATTGGATTCTGTTCTCGATCTACTCCTGCAGCACTCGCCGATTTCCAACTCATGAGCCTTGCTGCCACACGTCCGTCTCATTTCTTGTCTGGCCCAAGAATGTCTACTGGAATGTCTCGCTTTTTACTTCCAGCTTCGTCGCCCTCTATTGTTTCTCCCCTACCTCCTGGTGGGCTAAGGGTAAGTCTCATTTCTCGGAAGTTTGAGACAAAGGAACAAAGAAAATTGGAAGGAAGGATAAATTTATAGAAATAGAATATAAATTAAACTTAAAACTATACAGAATAAAAAGGTGTACAGCCATTGAACAGTATTTTAAATCAAGAGTTCCAGAACTGCAATAGTTCCTGTTTCCAGCAATAGGTAGAATATTGAGAAAAGTGCATTGACACTTTTCTCAATATTCTGATGGAAAATACTTTGAAGGGGACTAAATACAACTGCTTAAAAAACAGTTCTGGTTATTTTTGGGTATCTGTACATATGTATGCTATGAACATTTGAAAGATTCATTTTTGAATTGCCTTTGGTTTTTATACTTGTTTTAATGTCACAATGTATCTTAATAATTTAGAAGTTGTCTTAAATTAATAATTTAATAAAAACATTGATTTAAGTTTAGCGTTTTTTTTTTTGTTACAGACCATTTTATGAAGTACATACTAGAGCTACAGATGAATTATTTTACAAAAGAGCAGTAGATTTTCATCAAATTAATGATACTAGTTTTGTTTTCTCGGTTCCATTTGATGCAGGTAGGATTCTATTAACAAATTAATTATAATATATACTTGAAAAGTTATTTTTAATTTTTATTAATAAGATGAATTACTAGGATTAAACTGCTATTTTCAGGTAATTAAACTGTTGTATTAATNTCCGTTCAAATGTCTTACCAATTACCCACAATTCATTGGAAAGTAGCAGTCAACATATCTGTTGAGTGCTGAGTCAGCGCTGACAACAGCGCTACCTTCAACGTTGAAAAAAGGAACGAATTTTAACGAATGTTGAGATCAGCGCTGAGTCAGCGTTGAAAATTGGAATGTCCCAAATATGAAAAGGGATAAAGCAGATAGCAAGATAACAAAGGCATCGCATTGGTCAGCCCATTGCTCTGGAAATCTAGGATTAAATCTGGGCAAGCAACCCTAAGAGCTGCCACAAACTACAGGAAGTGGGAGCTAGTTGCACTCCAAAGCCTGCCTCATAAAATGGCTCATAGCCTCATGGGTAAAAACCCATGAGGCTATGAGCCATTTTTACTAGGTAAGCTATGCGGGCATGAAGCAGCTGCAAACTACACATTTGCTGGTAGTGCTGCATCGTGGGAGATTAGCGACTAATGTTGCCACCGTGCCGGTTATTAAATTCGTGGTCAGGATTAATTACAAGTGATGTTGATTCCGTGTTCAGAAACTAAAAGCTCTCTTAATTATGTCGATGTGAAATCCCTCTTGTTCTTTTTGTAGTAGTCTGCATGACTTGGATTCCACTGATGTGGATTGGCTATAGAACAAAGATTTCATTATAACCTATACAGTACTTGTAATCAGTCAGTTTTCGTTCCGAACTTGGAAACAGCATGGGAAAAACATGCCTACTAGTTGGGCTTAACTAGCTTAAAATATATATGTACAATGTTTATACTATTTTCTTTTCAATACTGAATGTATTAATCATATAATTTACTTACTGTACATCAATAAAATTCTATTATTTCTTTTTCGACGGTCGACAACATGTTTATGCAGTTATCCATTTTCCTCACTCTCTCTTGCTAGCATGACTGCTCTATCTGTTGAATTCTGTCAACAGCGCGTGTATGTTCGCATTGCTGCACTAGCAAAGGAGAAACCACACGGCCAGGAAGAAAAGGGCAAAGCCTTTGACGTCATGGAATGTGCTTGTGCACATTTGCTAGCGTTTTGCTCTCACAAAGCGTAGAATGCGGCGGCTCTAAGAATTTTTCAAGTGTGATCCATTTTGGGTATGTTAAACATCATCCCTCACTATGCTACTACTCCCATTGTGGGCCTTGCTAAATCTACAGGGGAAAAAAAGGGCCTTCTTATTGCCCACATGGCATAGAAATAGTTAAACTAAAATTATATAACCCTGACTCTAGTCCTTTGTTTTTTTGTATCATACCTTGTTCTAAAATCAGTTCAGAACTCATTCTAAAGCTAGTTCCTTGTTTCTTTCAACAAGTGAAAATGAAATTAAAACCTTGATAAGGTTTCATCCAAACTAAATTTAAAATCATATATGATTTTAACTTAAATAGAAAATGAACAGATTTAATGGAATGTTATGCAGGCAGGCAGTTTTTAGAACCTAAAAATTAATTGTTTACATGCAACAAATGTATAATGGATTCAATGAAACAGTTCATCATAAATGTACAGTGCATGTGACAAATGTTGAACGAATTTAACAACTGCGCCATTAACCGGATTAATCGTTAAATAATCACAAAACATTTTCTGCTGTTTTCTGTGTTTCTGTTTAATTTTAATGTACAACCACTTTCAAATAATTAATAAAATTCAAATCATGACGAGTTACAATATTACATTTATCAATAAAACAATTTAAAAAGTTGTTGAACTCTCTTAAAACAATCTTTTTGAATAAATTACACAATAATTTTCCATTATACTTTATGTTAATGATTCGGCAGACACTCGTGTACCTTCTACATTTGCAACTTCAATCTTTGACTCGAAAAGATGTATTTTAAGATACTTAAGTTAAACTCGGATCAATAGCACCATTAAACAATTCCTAAACTGAATTTTATAGTGCAAACTACGCAAACGGTTACATAGTTTGTACACTTTAACATTGTGTAAAACCAAATCTTAATTAAAATTCGAATATCGAATGATATTACTTATCTGAATACACATATATACAAATCTTCTGCTAATGCAAATGCTAAATTTTGACAGTTTTCACATATGGATGACTAAAATCAAGATTCTGCCACGTTATCTACAGTGTTAAAGAAAGAAAATTCCATTTAAATGAAGATAAAAGTTATCAATTACATACTTCAAATATTTTGAATAAACAATTTACAAATAAATTTGTTAGTGTATATATATATATATATACTAACAACACACTATGATAAATGTGTTTAACATGTTTGCTGCTGAATTTAGTCGTGAGGTTTTTGAATTGCCATTGCTTACCAAAATCGTGCAAAAATATTTAGAAAAAAAAAACAATATTTTGACAATGAGAGGTCTTAACAACTCTTGAAAGTACTTCTTTCTGAATAAGCAATGGTTGTTATCAGTATTGCTCTATAATAATCATTTTTCAAAGAGTTAGTGTTTGCTACTTCAATTCATATATACAAGATTGCCCAAAAGTCCCTTAACCATGTTTTTGCAAGTGATTTGGCAACTTGTGAGTGGCAAAGCATTAGTCTTTGTGTAATGAGCAAAACAGGATCTTATTTTGAATAGTTTTTGTACAGTTTGTAAATGAATAAGAAAGCAATTTAGTCTTTTTAATGGTTAACTAACTTTTAGGCCAATCTGTTTTAAAAACATGATTATACATAAAAACACAGCCATTGAACAATGTATGAAACTTATTACTTACAACACATTTCACTGTAGAACTAAACTGTGAGAAAGGACACCATCTCACTGCCATTTACCAAGAAACTAAACTGTTACAAACCAATAATTTGATGGCAAATACAGTAATTATCACATCACTGATGCGTAATGATATGAAATAAATCTATACATGAAATGTTATGATATGACAGTTTTAATATTAAGCAAACATGTTAAACATTTAGAAATTTGTACAAGGTTAGTTTTATGCTTCTATACATATTTTAAAATTATATTCATTTCTTTCTATATACGAGCAAAGGCACTTTTGTAGTTCATTGCCCCAGTTCCATACATTGAAAATTGAAAACCAATTTAAAACAGTTGCAATTGTACAAAGTTTGATTGAAAATATTCAGAAAGTAAACTTTAATAAGGAAATTGTATCAATTTAAATAATTTTTATCAAAAATAACTTTAAAATATTGCAACCAAGGATATTTTTTGCCAATGCAACAGATAAACAGGTGTTAAAAACATAAAGATAGCTGTGAAACTGACTAAAATACAAAGAAATTCACTCTATTATGTCAACAAAACTATGCATTTTATATTCAAACACAGTACAACATAGATATCCTTGAATTCTATTTTAATCCCAAATATTGTTATTTTATAAAAAAAGCAATAAAGCATTTAATAAAACAAAAATAGCCACATTAAATCCTTTTAATTTCATTCCTGAACCTTATAAATATACATATGTATGTATATATTTTTATATAGAGAAATGATATCTAGCCAAGGCATATCGTATAAAAATATGCAATTTTTCATACAATGTTTCTGAAATTTCAAAGATAATTTTTAAAGAATGCATTTTGTGCTCTTAAAGAACAACTTTTATAAATTTTCAAATTAATTTTCTATAGAACTAAGGCAATGAATTGTGCCAAAATGAAAAAGTTACACTTTCAAACAATATCTGAGGAATAAATGTACAAAACGATGATTACACAAAACATAGAATAATGAAATGAGCAATATGAATTTCAAAGTGCAATATCGTGCTCCTTCGTTAACATATTTTCTAATTAAACAACAAAGTATTAAAAGAAAATACTCTGCTTCAGTCAACAAAAGAACATAGACAATGGCTCATTGCAAGGCATTATCCGAGGTGATTGAATAACTGCGAACGCGGGAAAACCAGAATGGGGGAAAATTGTTTGCAGTCAGATCAAATTCTGAGACCGTCTCTTGGCCATTCCTGTAATAAATAAAGTATTTGTTAGATCTATCAAACTAATAGTTTGTTTTAAATGCAAATGTAAGATTTTACAATACATAGTTCTGATGTGTTTAAGTTTAAAATAGAGTTATTTTAAAAAATACAAGCATCCTCCCACTTAACATCTGTAATCCATTAATGAAAATAGGACATTCTATATGTAAGTAACACATACAACCCAATTTCTGTACTGTAAACATTACATTATGATACGGCATAATAAATACACAGTAATAAAGATATTTGTTTTAAATATTGCAAAATTTGCAATAAAATCATAGATTAAATCAGAACATATTCTTAACAATATATCGACACTTTAGTCAAAGAATTCAATGATTACTTAGTGATGTTATAAAAGCATGTTTAGGCTTTTTACCACAAGAGGTATTGGGATGGCTTGATGCCAATGCCACTTTCAGAGGAGCTCTATTTGGGAATCCCAAATATAGCTCCTCTGGAAGTGGCATTTGATTCACATTCCATTTCTTGATACACAAGGATCTTTAAAAAATGCCTAAATGTGATTCTAATGTTCTAATCATATTTGAATATTTGAAATATACTTTGAGGTTTTTCCAAATATTTTGTTGAAAAATTTGTATGGAATATTTAGATAATTTTTTTTTTACATAAACACCTGTAAAATATCATCACACAAAAGATACACAAGATGTATGAGATTTGGGTATTAAAACCCTATGGATGTTATGTTGGAAAGACAAGAGAAATGCATGTAATATTTAAAGAAGATAAAGAATGTATTGTTGGAGAAATGAATTCTGACAACAATGAAGGTCTAGAGATTATGAAAATGAAAAAAATATAAACCAGAAGAAGATATGGAAAGCATTACACACAAAAAATTTTAACTACCCTTTACTAACTTTTTCTTCTCAAATTACACTTTAATAAGTGCAGTTTGAGAAGAGTTCTCTACAAAAAATTTTGTTACAATTTTTTCAGTACAGTCGACCCCCCTATAACACAGTAGTGTGAGATCCGGAATTTTGGTGATGGAAATATCGCTCGTTTATTAACAAAAATTGTTAATTAATTAAACTTTTGTTTATGTAACGCCCTAGTAGAAAAAACGATCTTGCCCGGGATTGTGTAAACTTTCTGGTCTTAACTGGCAACATCTATTGTTCTCTGCAGAACTTGCATCTCATCTTGCAAAAAGGTTGATAGTTAGCATCTAAATGTCGTCATTTGTTGTAGATCCTAGGAACACCTATAACCCCTAACCTATGTACATCCGATCACGTGGTGGAAATTCCCCACTAAAACAGATAAAAGGCCGTTCTTACCCCCTCTCAGGGGAGTCTATGAACGAACGCAGGATTAACGACATTGTGCCGATCTTCCGAACCCGCGGAATTCCGATCTCTGATGAACCTCGAATTAAATCATCGCTAAAGTCGCGATATATATGATTTGTGCCGAAACTGGATTATAACCCTTGGATTGTTCAGAATCGTCAAAGGGGACGGCTATACAGAGGTATGAAAGCACTGTGAAACTCTCTCTAGAGCGATATAAAAACTTTAGGTCAGTATAGAAACGAGCTTTGTGTAGTTTTTGCCATTTTGCTTCATTTTAATAAATTGTTATTTTATATTTGTTCAAAAAAAATGGTAGACTCCTTTACTCGATCTCGCCCTTCACCTTATCATCGACCCCAATCTACTCTCTTTACACTCGCCTGACGCATCATCCTGACAAGTGAACGGGAGCCTTATGCACCCGTATTCACAGTAGATACATTCCTGTTTTTATGAATCCATTTTCTAGGAGTCCAGCCGATCACAGCCCAGCACGTATGCAGTTTACAAACTACAGCTGTTTGAAAGGTTTCTTCCATAAAATTAATCGATTCTAGACTAATTCGACTCAACATTTCCAAAATACGTATAATTTTTTGGGAATAATCCATATAAACTATGCTATAAACAAAAAATTGTAGGATTACTTACCAAGTGTGCACCATTCAACTATGCCGTTGTTTAAGCTTGTTGGAGATTGTCATTGAATGGCGCTCGCGTGCTTCCTGATAAATTATTTTTTTTTGCAAAAAATTCACTGAACTTTAGAGACATCATTAATATAAATATAATTTTTATGGACATTAAATAATAAATGGTTTTTGGTAGGTCCGCTGCTCATTTAAACTCAATGGTTTGTGCAATCCTGTCGCAAAACAGGTTGGCAATGACGTTTTACCGAATTATAGGCGTGTTTTTAGCATGTTTGTACAAATACTGTCACAATTTTTTTGCCATGATATAGGAATCCGAACTATAGGAACACGTGTTATAGGGGGATTGACTGTATATGAAAAAGATCATGGGAAGAATATTGCAGAACTTCAGAAAATGAGGCTATCTATTAAAGTTTATCAACCAACAAGGTTTAAAACATACCAATAAAATACATTTTATTCAACTGTAATACAATAACAAATCAGCTAAATATTTGTTAACCTTTCAACAGTGGAATAGTCAGGTATGGTGCTACCCTTAGTAGTGGAGAATAAACGTGCAAAAATTTTTAGAGTATTTTTCCACGCGTTTTTTCTCATTACTGTTACGGAAAAAGATTTTGTAAACAGTTATGTCTAGTAAAGAAAAGTCTTTTTTTATTGTTACATAATTCATTTTGTATGTGAATTTTTTTTGTGGTAGTTTTTGGCGATACCCCCAAAAGAATTAGACATATATATATGTCCCTCACCACTGCTACAAGATCGCCCTTGATGAATATATTCGTCACTCACTGCTGAGTAGTTAATTATTCAGAGCTTTAAGTTGAAAAATAATGCAATAAAAAAATATAAAGTCAACACACCTTAATGCATGGGCCATCATCAGGTCTTTAACCTAATGATGGCCCATGGAATGAGTTGAAAACGTTTGTTTAGCTGAATAAATGAGCTTTCTCAGTATTAAGGTGTGTTGACTTTATAAAGTTAGAGAATCTGAGTGTGAATAGGAGAATAAAAAATAAAATAAAATAAAATCTTGTTACATAAAAATGAATTGTTTTTGAAAAATGGTTGAAAATGCATTTTGAAAGATGCACCTTACTTTGACCATACTTTTTCTAACCATCCAAAACCACAGTTCCAAGTTGGCCAGATTAGAGAGCTCTGACTGTATGATGTGTCCTAGTTACACATAAAACAAAATACACTATTCATCCAAAAAACTGCCTTTAAGTGGTTATAAAAGTGACTGATTATATCCCACAAATATTGATCATTTTTAGCTTTGTATCAAAATACACTATGTTCTCGTATATATTTCACTTAAAAAGTAACAAATTTAATTTCCTAACTGATTTACCATAAGAAATATTGTATGTCTTACTATCATAAGCTTTGTATAAATATTGTTTATAACAAACTAGTAAATAGTGTCAAAAATAAATCATCATAAACTTAAACAGAACTTTTGTAATGCTCTGATAATAAAGTTATTGAAATAATTCAAACCTGTGATTCATGTGGATTGAATAATGTCTCCAAATCAGCTGAAAACTTGGTCGACCCTTTACATTTCGAACTTCCAGACCCTAAACGAATATCAGATATAATTTAATTTAATTATAATTACATAAAAGGATTATTTTACAGATAAAATATGAAAAGAATTAATAAATCTTGCCAAGTGAAATGTTTGTTCTGCTTCCTGAGGAACTGCACGTTGGCGGCGATAACGATAATTCCCTCCATTTGTCACAGTAATGTCGGGCTTAAAGCGCTTTAATATAGCAGTGACCGAATTATCTACCAAACGATAATGTCCAGAGAGTACAGCAGGATGTCGAGGTTTCCGATATTTTAGTTTAGAGAGGGACTGATATGGATCATCGGGTGTCGTGAGCATCAACACTCTTCCTAATAATAAGAAAAAACAATCAGTTAAAATTTAGTAGCAATCTTTATTAATACATTTTTAATGATAATCAGAGTTAGAAAACCTTCTGGGAAAAAGCGAAGATAACGAAAATATTCAACTAAGTAACACGGCCTGTAATTAGCATCTTGAAATGTTGGTTCTCCATATCTGACATATGTTGTCTTGCTGATGTAGGTACCTTTTAAAAAAATCTTAAATTGTTAGTAATTTAAAATTTATAAAATTAATATCAACTACAGGTATCCCTCATACAACACAGTACTTCTATAACACAGTTTCACGCTAACATGGTTTGAAAATTGAGGATATCCCCCATGCAACACGACTTCTGGTTTCACTCTAACACAGTTTTGAAAATCCTCCATACAAAATTTTTAAGCGTAAACATCATTATTCTATAGTTTTTTTTATTCAAGTAAGCACACATGTTGTCTCAATTTTGCCCATGGATTCTAGAATATTAAAATTTTCAAATAATTTTGTGTTTTTTGTCAGGTTTAAAACTGATAGGATAAGGAAGAAAAAATTTGCACTAACTTTCCTATCAACCAGGTGTCATTGTAGTTGCTTGCTTTCAGGCTTTAGCCCTTAAGACTGTCACTGTGTTTTCTTTTTATAGATTAATCTTCATATTTAGTAAAGTTTATTTAAACATTTTTAGGTTTTTAGGTAAGTGTTATTAAACTTTTTTAACCACAGTTATTACTTACCTATGAATGATTACTTCATTTGTAAAAATGACAAACAAAATACAGCATTATAAAGTATGGAAAAAAGTCGCTCATTACTTGACTGAATAAATGCGCCAGCTAGAACAAATTTTCCATTAATAGCACATTTTTATTTTGTCATCCATAAAAATTTATGATAAAAATAAAAAAATATGAAAATGTTGCTGATATTTCTGATCAAGATCAACAAACAAGCTGAGATGACAACAATACTTTGTAAAGAGAAAATACCCTCATTTAACTAAAATTAATATTAACATGTAATACAGTACTTTTAATTGTGATTGTTAATTAATTATTGATTGGAAATAAATTATCGATTGCTTTAATAAACATATTTCTCTTGGTAATGAAAAACAATAGTATACTTTTATTAATTTCTAGAATGTAACCCTATGTTTTTCATTAGTCCTTTGTTTCATATAACACAGATTCACATAACATGGCACTTTTTCAGAGTTTAACTACCTTGTTATATGAGGGATATCTGTACATTGTATATTCTAAAAAAATACCATAATATTCTCAATTCATTTTTTCAAATTTCCAAATGATCAATTTATTTTTTGCATTCAGTGCATAAATCTTTATCTTCAATAAGACTGATGATGCCAGATTTGTACTGTGAGATGATCGGGGAGTAACCTGTAACTTCGAGTTCTTAAACATCTTTGCTGTTTCATTATTGCAATAGTCCCAATAAACAAATCATGTGTTTTTCTTTATTTGTTCATAATCCAAACTATTTCATCTCTATGCTCTTCTATGAACTTTTTAAAATATATTTTTGATAAAAATTTAATTAAACATTTATACATCCAGAAACCAGATGAACAAATCAACTAGTTTTTGATTTACATGAATCAAATTTTGCTTTTCTTACAGTCACAATGTTTAAATCTTGTTACTTCTATAGTTTTAAAAGTTAATTAAATACAGATACTTGCTTTTCACTATATATAACTGTGAAACATTTGAGAAGCTGGAACACTAACAATAAGCAACTCAACACCTTCTGTACTCTTTCCAGCAAAATATTTTAATGGGACAAACATTTTGGCCTCTTTAAGGGGCCTGTCTTAATTTTTAAATATCATCATCTTGTTTGAGTATTCCAGTTTGGAATGCTTTGTAGAACATAATTGTCATTTTAGCATTGCAATTATTTTTATTTTTCATTAATTTTTGAATCTGGCACTGATGATTTACTATCATTATCATTCCTTACCCTTCAGATACAAAGAACTTCATTGCTATATCTCTGGGTTAATGACTCTATATCTGAGAAAAATTATCTTACCATTAAAACAAAGTCTCGGTCTCCAAATATACATTTCTCTCCAGTTTCTGTAGGTGTTAAGAGTACCACAATTTACTCCCCACACTCTAAAATATAGATTATAATAATCAGAAAAATGTATTGTTTTTCGTACTAAAACTTACAGTTGAGTTACCTTAAACATGCTAAACGCCAAATTTCTGGATCTCTTGCACAGATGTAAAATCCTCGGCAAACCTAACCATATTTTAATCTACATGAATTTTTTAATTTCTTTTTAAAAAATGCATTTACTTCATAGTATTTTTAGAATGCATTTTTTAATTAAATTAAAAATACAGGCATACCTCACACAGTTAGCATTTTCTGTAGAACATATCTCAGCTTTCAACAAACTTTATAGAATGTACATATCTCTCAATATAATTTTTTTTGGTCAATGTTTATATTGGAAAAATTTATAGTTTACATCCAAAAACTAAATAATTTGAAAAATATTGAGTTATATTCCAAATATAATTAGTAAAAAATATTAGAATCTCATATATATTTCAAAAAGCATGCCAAATGTCAACACATGTAATGTTTATGGGTATGATAAAACCTACACATTATTGCATACAAAACAACAATTTAACACTATATTAATTAATTGGTGATCAAAAAGCAAATATTTTAAGCATTTTTTATCGTACTACAACAATTTGTTACTTATACAGAATGATTCAAAAGGTTATTAACAAATTTAAAGGACATACAGAAGAGTCAAAATAGAATAACTTTCAATTAGAAACTCATCATGTGTCAAGGAACCTCAAGTCAGTATAAGTCTTTGAATGTATGGGCCATTGTCTCCTTACATTCCAAGGCTTGTATTAAACTTTCATTGGAATGTTGTCCACAGTGACAACATACTAGTGAAATAATCTGAGTTTGTACAAAATTTAACAAGTAAACAAAGATTACATGAACTTATTAAGTAAAAAAAAATGTAAAAATGTAAATACCATCAGCCAAGGCTGGATATTAATGAACTTTATTGTAAATTATAGTATTGGCATAATCACAAGAAGATGTTTTTATCCATTTTGCATTTTATTGCAGAGGCATAGCCTCAAATAGAAGGTTATCTCCATAACTGAAAATTGGAAGTTTTTGGAAATCACTGGCGTTTGTAACAGAACACAAAGACAATTTTGTAGCTTCAATATATGTTATATATTTTAATGTAAATACCATCAGCCAAAATTGGATTTTTATAAAAATACTAGCAGATGAGCCTGGCATTGCTTGGACAAAAAATAACAGCAGCAAAGATTAAAATTATTAGATTATTTCATACTTTCTAACTCTTCTATTATATTACATTATAGTATTTTTACAAAAGCTATCTTACGTAAGCATTTATCAATCTGAGTGCCCAATTTAACAAATTTTTAAAATTCTTTAAATTGTGTACATTAGAGAAATACAGAATTTTTAAAATGTGTTAAATTGATCACTTGATGTGATAAACTCTTATGTAAGATGACCTTTGTAGTTGAAAATGGTAGGCTGAAATAACCAAACTCTTAATATAGTTTTCGTTTTAATGTTTGTTATATAATAGTATTTCATTTATACATAAAACGTTTATTCCAATACTCGGATGGTACGAAATAGCACACTTTCAATGGTCAAGTAGAAACCAACTGAACATATGATATTTGAAAAAATTTAAGATATCATATTTTTTCCTAATGTTAACTCTAAGAAACTGTATCATTCACAACAAAATATCAAATGGTAATCTGCCAAAGAATCAAATTTCACAAAAAACAAACAAAATATTTAAACTCAACACCCTAAAAAACTATTTTGTACTTGATAACATTATGCAGTTTTTTTATTTGAATGCTACCATACCAATGGTTTGATAGAAAGAAGGGACTGTTGCAAAATGGGATTGAAGTAATTTGACCAAAAGTAGTAGTTGACCTCCTCCTGGAAAAGAGGATGGTTAACAACTAATTAATACTGGTCTACTATTAATATTTGAAAAGTGATTTGTGTTGAATAGATTGTGATGTTCCCACATGTGATCAAAGTTGCTTTTGTCCCTAACATCCAAAAGTCTTTTGGACGTTAGAGACAAAAGTATAAAACTTGTTTAAATAAAAAAAAATCTTGTAAAAATGCTAGAATAATTCCTTTTATGTGATAATAAAGTGTTTATATTTTTGCAACAAATTATATAAACTATGTGGAAAGTATGTTCTCATAAATATTGCATTTATAGAAAAATTATTGGGCTAGAAAAATTTATACGTAAACCTATACATTATAGACCTATAAATTCCCCCATCTGTCTGTCCTTCCTTAATCTTGAGAAAGGAGTTAGATGAAAGTCGAGACCAGATGTGAAAAACTCAGTGGCAGGAAGCCCACTAAGCTTTACAAACTATATACAAACTTCTGGTTTAGAACAGAAGCCACGTTACTTCAATTCAAAATTTTCCCTTGAACGTAGTTAGATAGATGACTGACATGACTCTATTGCTAATAGAAAAAGTATGATATACAGGGACAAGACTACTACTAAAAGACTTGAGAACATTGACAAAAAGTTGCAGTCTGGCATTGTGATGATGTCACAACAAATAATTGCTTGTTAGAATTTATTTATTTGGTTACAGCAATGTGACACATGAGCAAACTGCCAAGGGGAATGCATCCCATGGGAAAGATTTTTATGGGAAGCTGGACCCTATTTAAGTGTTACTAAAATGAAAAAACACAGAAAACTCCAAGTGGCCAGTCTGTTGACCTTGCCCAAACCCATGACTAACTATCAGAGTTCAGTGGTTTTATGTACTTGGATACTGGAGGGCACTTTTAAAATTAAGAAAATACCATTAGAAATGAAAAATCCCTGATTCATCATATGTGGAAAATTAAATACTTATATACTTACTATAGACTTTCCACAGAGAACACTTTCAATTCCACACAGGCAAGTACTCTATGCTATCTGTCACAGTAATGATATAGCATGTCTATTTCTTGATATATCAGTGTTGCAGTAATTAAGTGAATATAACATATTCTTTTTTTTATAAAAATTATATTTAGTTTATTGTTTTGTTAATTTTCTGCCAACAGATGGCACTATATGTAAATCAGCAAATCAATTTAGATAGAAATTAATTGATTTACAGAAATCCAATAAATATTTTGGAGTGGGATATATGACATTATCTGAGTTAGATGTATGTGAATGCAACTGCCAAGTTTTGTAGCAATTGGTCGAACAACCTAGGAGTGTATAGCAAACAAACAAACAAACATTCTCACTTATATATAAATATGATTGAATGGACTTACAAAAAAATGTTTAGATTGGCAACCACCACATTCAATACAGGCATTGCATTATTGATTGAAACTCTAGTGTGCTTAATCTCAAATAACCTAAGCACCTCCCAAATCATATCATATGTTGCAAGTATTGTGGCTAATAGTGATTTTGGATCATTCTCCAGTGTGCTGTAAACAAAGCTTTTGATATGCTTGCTCCCAAAGAAAACAATCAAGAAGTATCAGGTCAATGGAAATGGGCTGGCAATTCAAGTAGATCTCTTTCGTCTGATCCAATGTCCAGAATAAATACAAATTCAGAAATTCCAGCACATAGAGAGCAGGGGTGGAGACTTTGTCTGATCACACAAATAAGGTTCTGGGGAAATTTGCAGTAAAAGAATATTATAGGCACAAAAATGTTACAATAAACAGAATAGCATCTTGGCTAAGCCTATAAACATTAATTGAGAAAATCTGCCAAATGCAAGGAAATCCTGTGTTTTAAAAATAAAATTACAGCATTCAATATCTAAATACCAAGTTTAAAAAAATTAAATATCCTCAACTCATACTGTAACAAATACCATTCCTCTTTGTAACATTGATTACATCCACAATGCAAATGCAAACCTTACATTCAAAGGCTTGTACAGATTCAGGATTAATTCAGAGAACACAGGATTCCTAATTCAAAAGTTAATCTATTTCAATTCCTCTATACACTCCTTAAGTTTGCCAATAATAACCTTGTCTTTCAAATCACTTTATATATATAAACATTCTATTGTTTTAGTTATGTTTCAGAAAACTGATCAGCAATTTTGAATTGATGTTGTAATGCAATGTAATTTCTTCCATTTAAATTATTTTGAAAATGATTCCCAGTTATCATTTTCATGCAGAAAATCTGATTTTCAGAAATAGATTTACTGACATAAAGCAAGGGATGCCTGTACAAATATATTTAACACAAATCAATAAATACTTTGAATAACAAATATTTCAAAGTAATTATTGAAAAAACTTAAATCAACAAATTAATTATCAAAAATAACATATAAATTTTTATAAGTAACATATATCTGTTAAACTGCTTAATTAATGTTCTTTTGTTGACACAATACTAATTTTACATTACAATTTAATGCAAAAAACATAAAAAACATTTTTTCAATTTAAAAAATTATTACAAAATACTTTATTGTGAATGATTTCAACTACTACAATCTTAAAATTCTATTTTTCTATAAAGTTGAAAATATTTATGATAATTTTTTTCTTGAATTCTGCAGTGCATTGTTATTAATTTAAAACATGCATAAATCATTTATTTTTTTCCTACTTAATGAGCCTGAAACTAATTGTTTCATTAAATATGTATGCACAAACAACCTTCATCAACCAGCAATCTGTTTAACATAAGAATAAACATACTAAAACACAGACGAAGTAGATATGTGTATTCACCTAACAGATGCACAGGCAAATGTAATAGGAACTGTGAAAAGCCTTCTGCACACAGGTTAATGGCTTAATTTTACAAATTTAACGTTTACAAACTTTATCTAGAGAATTTTAAATTGTATTAGTTATTCTGGTATTTTTGACTGTGCCAGTAATTGTTTAGTAATTCAAACACAAATCATTTATTGTATTTATTCAGACACAGCAAATCTCATCATTAATTACTAAACTAATATTATAACTAATATAAACAAATTAATAAACTTGTATTAGTTATATTTCTGGTAATTTAGTATATTTTGTAATATAGAGTGGTCTGAATGTCATATAATAAGTTATACTTTAAAGATTATTTTATGGATGGTTAAAAAACTGATTTGTAATAACTGCATATTATTATTTGCAATTCAGATGATTCATTGAAGGCAACTAATTCACAAGTAACACACTGCACCACACTGTATTTATGTTCATTTAAATTGTTTTAAAATTTAAGTGTTATGAACACACAGTAGCATTAAAACAAATACTTCTGGTTTAACATATTAAATACTTGAATCATTCAAACTCGTCCTGAAGATAATCACTGAAGGTGTCAATCATCAGCACATGAGTCTTTTAGAGTGATTGTAAATTTTAATTCACATATTATAAGCATATTTCTGGTTACTTACTGTAGATAAATATACATGAATAAACATTCATGCATAGCATATATAGTTTTTCAAACAATTTATAATAAATTTAAAGTTATTGTTTACCCTTGCCACTTGTTCCAAAGATCGAAGATCTAAATCAAGAGAAACAACCCATTTTAGTATGTAGATGAAGACTTCTGTTGGTAAAATGGAAATGTGTGTTGCCTGAAAAAATTTTTTAGAAATTAATTTTATAAAAAATTACTGTAATTTTTAATTGTAATTACTGTAATTATTAATTAATATATATATCAAAATATATATATATAGTATAAAAACAAGATATATTGATGTGTTTATATGTGTGTATATACAGTGTGTTCATAAAAGATTATCAGGGTTTTCACAGGCTTCATAAGTGACCTTAAAAGTATGTTTTTCACATATAATGATGCCTGCCAGTGGCCATGTGAATAAAACCACTGAACACTGGTAGGTGGTTGCAGGTTTACCTCTGACCAACAGACTAGTTAAATAGTTTCTAGGTTTCCTTCACATATCTAACAGCCAGTTTCCCATAGAAAGTCCTCCCAGAAGACATCCCCCTTGGCAAATTGCCCATGTGTTGCATTGCTACATTCCATCAAACCAAACTCACAGATGACAAAGGAGCACGTGTGAAATTTTCTACCAGATATATAAAAAGTTGTTTCCCCTTCATGTCAGAAACTTCTACCCGATGCACAAAAAGCTGTTTCCACATAATAGAATGAGGACAGAAACCTTAGGATCCCAATCTCACCTCGTGATCTCGTCAAGTAGGGTTATATAAAACATCACATCTTGCTCTGACCTCTACTTGCTTCTGAGTGGAGATGCAAGATTGTTGCAGCTGTTGAATCCATCACACTAGACATGCTGACCAAAATATGGCAGGCATATGACTATAGACTGGGTATTTGTCTTGATAAAAAGAGGGATCATTAAGCAATTATGATGTCTGTGGTGAAAACTTGTTGAGTTTCTCATTCCTTTCATTTAAGGTTTGTTATTGTATACCAAACCTAAGAGAAATTAAACATTAAAACCTGTAAGAATCTTTTATGAGCACTCTGTATTTATCTGCTTATTATAAGCTTCAAAGCTTATTTATTCAAACAATAATAAATGGTCATTAACACTAATCAGAGTTAAGTAAACAAGACAGCAATTAGTGGAAATTCTATTTTTATTAATTCTAAAATTAGAAGGGTATGTTAAAACAATTAAAAATTGTACAATTTAGATTTTTATTATTATTATTATTAATTACTAATAACTCATCTGCAACTATCTGTATTATACAGTAGTTTAACTATTGTACAGTACAGATGCAGTTTAACTACTTATAATGTAGTACAGTACAATTACAATTAAAATAATTAGAATTTAAGGTTTAAAGCATTGATTAAAAACTGGTGAAACTGTACATTATCCACCGTGTGCTGATGCTGATAGCATGAAAAAATAATTTATATATTTACCCAAAGACAATAACTATAACCAAAACTTCAATTACAATACAAAAAGTTTTAGTGTATTTTAACTTATGTTTTGAGATGACAACATTAGACAACCGATAACAATATCCATGATTACAATAAGTAGAATCTACTATATATAGATTTAAATTAGAAAATTACCTTATGAATGAGTGCAGGTTGACATATAAGATTCATTTTGAATTGAGAATTTATTCTCTGAAAATGGTCCAACAAATCTGTTATATTTTCATCAGAATATTCATCATTTTCATTTTCTTCAACACTAAAAAATAAGAAAAAGGATAAATATTTGCAAAGTAAATTTCAGCAGTTCACAATATATTCTCAAACTAAAATTACTTGAAATCATACAAACTTTACATTAACTTAATAAATTTTTATATTTATAATTAAATTAAAAAACGAAATGAAAGTAATTATAATTCATTACATATCTGGTTTGTTAATATATTAATATTTACCTGTCTTGTAAATCTTCATTGTCCAAAGCTAAATAGAGACACAAAATACAGTATTAAATTACATTGTTTGTAATTCAAAATTTAATTTTAATCTAAGTAAAAGATTTAAATTTTTCAATGTTTAACTTTTAAAAATTTTTTATCTTTAAATTCTAAAATTCATTTTGAAATTTTATGATAAAACCAAATTATATTAACAAGAAAGAGAAAAACATTCACATTTTTAATATTATCAATAAGATTTTTCATGAAATAAAGTAATTTTTGAAATGAAAGTTATGAAATGATCTAACTTTCAACAATCTTTAGTATCAACATGAGCCACCAAGAGATGTGAGATGTCCTTGGGGCTACCAGAGTAGCCACTCAATGACATCTCATATCTCTTCACTAAGATAACTTCAATAGTGTTAGCAAAGCCATCTAGTAAGATTTTCCTCAAAATGATTAACTGGCCCAGAGAAAAATACAGAAACAAAATAAAGTGTAAAGAGAAGGTTCTAGAAAGTAGCTAAGCATCAGTCAGTTATTATTTTTTTGTATCATGCACAACAAATTTTTGTGTAAAACAGTGAATCTTTCAAATTACATCAGAGGTGAGGTGTCAGAATAACTAAAGAACTACATGAGCAGAAGTGTGGAACAAGGAGGATATAAAAGCCACAGTTATTTAAGAACCTAAACCTGATAGTATGTATGAAAACCACTTTTAAACAGAAGAAAATATTTTTACAATTTTATTTTATTTAAATAGCCAAAAATGTTCCATTTCATAGTAAAACTGTTTTGTTAGTATTCCTAATAACATTAAATCTTTTCCTTTGTATTAAAAAATGATGCCAAGATATTTAATTATGCTGCACCTGCAATAATTTGCAAGAGCACAGAATGCTGTAGAACATTCTAGAATCTTTTTCTGCATTCAATTTTCTGCTTCTTTCAAAATGGTAATGAAGAAAGATGCTTTATACTTAATAGCATACAACTTTTACACATTACATAAAATATTAGGAAAAGTTTACTGTAAATCATTTTGTAAACAAAGGAATTTCAAAATATACTCTATATTGCATTCTCCAATGTTTAAGAGTGGATAACCACTACAGAGAAAAAAGGGTCTGGTAGAAAAATGAAAATTCTAATAAAAGCAAAATTGGAAGGATTGAAGAGAACATTTTAAGACTAATAATTTCAGTTTATTTGTACCTCTGGAAATGAAAATTTCACATAGTTGGCTCCCCAATGCTTTGAAAATAAAAACAAATATTAAATATTGAAGACAATAAATAATTCCAGAAAGGACAGACATGCAAAAATTCACTGTCAAAGACAAAATGAAGAAGGTTATTGCAAAAGTTATTCATTTTGCACGATAAATCTTACTTCACCCTCTTGTACGTGATGATCAACAATAATAGTGGATTTCTATGGTGAATTCTTGTAACTGTGAACAAATCAAATTATTACATTTATGTTCAACTGGATTTCTGATAATCTGTATATTCTTACTGAATATACAGATTATCAGAAATCTGTATATTCAGTAAGTAAATCCACCAAAATAATCATGCAATGTTTATGTATTTTTTGCAAATGTATGCATTTAAAACTTTGATTATTATTTTTTATTTTTATGTAAATTAACAATTAAACATCTCAATATTTAAAATAAATATTTTATTTTATACATTTCAAAGAGATAATATTCTAGATTTCCTCTTAATATCATTATAATTTTGTAAACATAATACCAAGAAAGGAAGTGATAAAAAAGTTGAAGCATAAAGTTGCAATGAAAAATGTCACATGCAAAAAACAAGGAAACTACTAATGATTGCATTATATCATAGTATTTTCAACCACAAGATTAATAAGCGAAATTTGATAATTTATATTTAAGCTTTACAATAAATAAAATTTTAAATTTAATATATACTGATAATATACATCTATATTTTGATAAAATTAATTAATTTCATCTATGTTTACTTACTCATTTGTGATTTGGTGGCATTAAATGAAATGTGAAATTCGATATCAGGTACTAACTGAACAGCTCGGCGGTAAAAAGAAATGGCTAAAGGAAAATTTATAACAGATTAATATAAAAGAAAAATAATTAAATCAATTTTCAAAACTATTATAGAAATTTAATTCATAAATTAATGAAGACTAATTAAATAAAATTTATATAAGTTCTTAATGTAAACATTTGAATAAATAAAATTTTCTAATATTAATTAAATGAAAAAAATGTTCATTTAAAATAATTCCCAACAAAATGCAAATAATAATTTATACATAAATGAAGATAATTTGTAAAATAATTTATCTACACTCACTGACCAATGAATTAGAAATCCCCATGCATATTATGTTAATGTAATTTTGCAGCTTATATGCAAAACACTTGAGTCATGTGAGTTATCATATGTTCATAAGCTCCTATTTAAGAATGCTGTTGGTCAGTATGATCATTAAGTTTATAAAGCAAAGGACTTGATGGAATTTCAAAAAAGGCCAATTGTGGGTGCCCATCTTGCTGGAGCCACAATATCAAGAACTGTAGAGCTGACTGGTTTTTCCAAAGGTGAGATTCCCAAGTGTTCAATTGGTGGAAAAATAACCTGCAGTCGATGTCTAAAAGAAGCAACTGTGACTCCAAAACAGTTAATCAGGAATGCGACCGATGTCATCTGAACAGGCTAGTGCAGGAAAAAAAGGGCTTCCTCTGTGCAGCAATTGACAGAAGAATTTAATGAATCCCATCCTCAACCCATATCTATCTGAACTATGCTCAAGGAATTGAAAAGAATTGATATGAATAGTTGCAGGCCTATAAGAAAACCACTGATTTCTACAAAGAACTGAAAAGTTTGTGTACAGTGGTGCCAAGAGCACTGAGATTGGACATCTGAAGACTGGAAAAAAGTAATATTGTCAGACAAATCATAGTACACCTTATTCTGTACCAATGTTTGACAGAGGGTTTGGAGAGAGCCCCATGAAGCAGTGGATCCTGCTTGCCTCATTAACTCATCAAGCTTCTGGTGTTATGGTATGGTGCACATTCTGTTGGGACAAAACTGATCCACTGATGTTCCTGGAGGGTCGGGTGACTTCCAACGAGTACCCTAAGCATTGTTGCCAATCACGTTCATCCTGCAATGTTGCATTTTTTTCCTGCATGTGATGGCTTTCTTTCATGACAATGCTACTGTCCATCGCGGAAAAATTGTTCAGCAGTGGTTCAGCAAGCATGAAGATGACTTTTGCCACACATCCTGGCCACCACAGATCTTAACCCTATCGAGAATGTATGGAACATGTTATGACGACAGATCCACCAGCAAAGTTCGCTTCTGTCAAATCTATGATAACTAAAGAAAACTCTAGTGAATTCCTGGTGTGCACTGGACTTAGAAGCATTTCAGCACCTTGTAGAACCCATGTCAAATCATATAAATGATGTAATTCAAGCTAAAGGTGGTCCAATAAAATATTAAACTGCTGTTTCTAATTCGTTGGTCAGTGAGTGTAGATATGTAGTTTTAAACATTCATGAAAACATTATACAGTAGAACCTCGAAAACTCGACCTAATGTGGACCGAAGGGTGGCCGAGTTTGTGAAAATGCCGAGTTATCGGGAATGGGGTTAAAAAAAATAAGTACGAGTATTTCCTCAGAAAATACTGTACTGTACTTGTACAGTATTTACTTGTACAGAATATAACAGAGAATAAACTGCCCAAATACCCTTAAACAAAGGAAAAGTACGTCCTTTATGAAGGCATAGAGCCACTACATGAAAATGAAAATTAATGAATACACTGTGTACAGTAATTTACCTGATAAGACAGACCTCAGAAAAATACTTTATGAGAGCTTTTATACTTTTATAAAGCTGTCTATAATGAAAATTAATTAACTAAGGATTTTTTCGCCCTGCCAAGGTGTGGACCAGTTATCCGGAGTGCTAAGTTATCGAGGGACGAGTTTTCGAGGTTCTACTGTATATGGAGTCTTCCAAAATAAATGCTACTATTTTAAATAACTGTAATTATATTAATTAATACCTGACAGGTATGCAATATACATCAATTGATAGAGTAACTGTTCAAGTTTCATCTCCCATCTGCATTCAAATGTATTGTTGTCTACTACTTCTAGGAAATGCCATAAACAAAAATGGCAACTTGCAACAGAAAAGATATTTTGTTTTGCAAACATGAGAACCTACCCTAGAAAGTCAGAATCATTCATCATTGTGCAATATGAGTAATCTGCAGGAGCAGTAGAATACAGCTGTGGAGTGGTGGGAGCTGAAGAATTGTGGTAAGAGGAATAACAATGGATATGCTATAGCAGTGGTTCTCAACCTTTCTGAGGCCACAGAACACCATTCATATACTTTTTATTACACGAAACATTAGCATAAATATATTCAAAATTTGATAAGCAATTCCATGTTTACTATTCTCAGGAAACAATGAAACAATAAACTAATAAACTTTAATATATTGAATAAAATAAAAACATGGAATTGTGTATGAATATAGCAATGGGAATAAATTTGAATAAAAACTTTAAAGTTCTTTCTTTTGTGGTGCACTCAAGGTAGGTTTGCTGATCACATGTGTTCCACAGCACACTGGTTAAGAATCACTGTGCTATAGCAAGCATAGAAAGAATGAGTATTGGTTGAATATGTGCTCTGTGACTCAAGATGTACACATTGAGAAACTAATGAGCAAATGTGAAACTTCGACAGTTTTCCAATATTTTAATGAACTTTACAATGTTCTCAGGTAACAATTAACATAATTACAATAATTTAAAATGGCAGAATTCTTTTCAAAAGTTAGATTCCTTAACTAGTGTTTTATATTAATGCATTGCAGGAGGCATTATGGGGTAGTTACAAAAGATGGTATACAACAATGTTTCCAGAAGTTGTATGAGCACTGAAAAAGTGTATTGTAGCCCAAGAGGATTAATTTAAAGGTGGTTGTGCATCAAATTTGGCATATAGTTCTTTGCCATTCCAGACAAAGAACTACATGCCAAATCCCAAACTTTCAAATCCTTTTCTGTATTTAACACAATATTTATCTTAGTAATTCAAACACAAATTATTTATTGTATTTATTCAGACACTTGGCAAATCTCATCATTAAATTTTATTCAGTTGATACATGTTCATCTCATTTGTACACGTTTCAGGCATTCCTTGCTCCTCTTCAGCCAAATTTTTGGATTACAGATTATTGAAAGTTAAAACCATAAAATTCCTTTGCCCATTTTACTTGTCATCCATTAAATTACAAATTTTTTTATGGTTTAAACCTTTAAAACACTCAACTTCTTATTATGTAGTTATTCATTTTGAATTGTTATAAAATGTAAACAATTTTAAAATTTTTCCCATACATTTACTATCACGTTTAAATCGATTTAAAAACAATACTAGAATTTACATACTCGTCTTTCATCAAAATCGAAGTAGTTCTTCCATACAAACATATTTCGCCGACCTTTCCTCCTCTTTTTTTAAATACAATAAATAATTTGTGTTTGAATTACTAAAAATTACTGGCACGGTTTCAAAAATATCACAATATTTATCTATTTAAAGTTATAACTTCTTTAATAAAATAGAATTATGATGTTAGTGGCAACAGAGCATATATCAAAAAATTACAAAAACAGACTAAGAATAACCATCTAAATAAATTTTTTTAAATTAAAATAAATCAAAAAATATTAAAAATACCTTTTAACTTATATATACATTTTGTTAATATATTTTTGTAAATCAAGTTGTCAAAATAAGTATTTGTATTTCTAAAATTTTGTATTTGTGATACTTAAGGCTAGGACATCTAGGCACTAAAAATTATATAGTTTATACGATTTTTAGTACCATATGTCATAGAATTAGTGATAATGTATGATAAACAGAAATTATATTCACAAATATTTATTTCTATTACAATTATCTTATAATTTCACATTTATTATGTGTAAAAAAGAACAAAGCTGTGCAACATCTGCAATTTTATATCTTATATTCTTTTCTTTTACATGTTATAAAGTAAGCATTAATGTTAATAAATAAAGTTAAATATTAGATGAGAAAAAAAAATATTTGAAATAATAGAAAAAAAATTATATTAATGATATTGAATTTGGTTGCTTACAAACTAAAACCAAGTTTGAGAAAGCATATAACATCTTTCAATACTGAAAAACACCTGCAACTTTTAAATATGAATCACAGTACAATCATATGTATCAGATTTCATCATTCTAACTACTAAACAGCTGGATTTGTTATATTAAACAATTCTCATATGATATATCAAAATGAAATGTAAATTATATTAGAAATTTAATAAGAATGAATGCAAATAGTATTAGTGGTAGATGCACATTGAAAACTGTGAACAAACTGTAAAAAAAAAAAAAACTTGACCTAAGTTACTAAAAAATAAAACTTTTAATAAAATAATATCAAAACTAATTATAAAAATTATTTAAAACAATGTTTTCAAAGGATTTGAAGCTTAGTGTCGCCTTGTTTGTACTTAGCAAACAGTAGACGTTAGAGACGATAGGAATAAACTAAACTTTATTTGGTATACATATTACGAAGCTGCATTTTGGGTGTCAAACCACTCTTCAGTTCAATTCTTAAATTTACCTAATAGAGTATTATAAGTATACTAGGTTAAGATATTGCTTAAGATTGTTTTACAGAAAAATTACTGCACAACTATATTTACATTTACCTTTACTAAAACAATCTTAAGCAATATTGTAACCTAGTATACTTATATTAGATAAATCTAAGAATTGAACTGAAGAAGGGTTTGACAAATGCATCTTCATAATACATATACCAAATAAAGTTTTGTTTATTCCTGTTGTCTTCAACATCTACTGTTTGATAAATCTGTAACAAAGCAACACTAAACTTTAAATCCTACAATTGATATTAAAACAAAACAAGAAGCTTGAATATCAACAATGTTTTCGCTTGATTATGCAAGCTTCTTTGGGCAAAGGAACAACAATTTGAAATGAAGCATATTTTAAATTTGTAAATGAAAATTTAAAGTATGTTCCAATCCAAATCCTTGTTCCTTTATCCACAAAAAGCTTGAATAATCAAGCAAAAACATTTGTTTTAACCCTAAATCTCAAAGCATAAATCATTAGCACATGAACACAAAGCTTCATAAATATTACGACTATTTATTTTATTAATTGGTTTCATATCGGAATACTGATTGACAGTAATATAATGAATATATGATGAAATATACTAATTTTGCTACAATTTCAATCACTGAATGATTATTATAAAATTTTATATTGACACATTGATTTGCATGATGTTCTGTGTTGTATATGTGGTTGCACTCACTGCAATATTAGTAGTAAAATAGTTTGTTTTCCAAATGGTAGATGTGACAAATTGTTATTGTGTTTTCAGATGTTGGATTCTCTCTGGAGAATGGTAGGATTTTTCTGTAAAACATTTTCTATGAGGTGGTGCAATTATTCCTGTAAGGTGTGCAATTCTAGCATCTTCATCGATGGTTTGGTTAGCTTTTCAATTAGATGGATGAAGAAATCATCTCTCTTCATTTCCTTAAAGTGTCTAACAGGTAAATGAATAAAATAAATAATATTTCTGCTTGGAAAGCAACAAGATGATTGACTAGCAAGTTGTGCATAGTAGCAATCATTATTTTTTTTCTCTAATAATTATTTTTGAAGGAATAAGTATATATGAATTTTCTGAAGCAGACAGAAGATAAAACTAAAGAATAAAAAATAGAATTTACATGAATTATGCCATATAAAGACAAAATTCACATACACACAAAATGTATAAGCATGACTATCCTTGACTATCCTAACTAGGTGTGGTGCCTTGAATAATCAAGGCACCACACCTAGTTACAAAGCTTTGTTAAATTGATGACAACAGTTTCAATTATTCCACAAACAAAAACAATTCCAAGAATTTGCACTTGTTATGACAATCCTAGCAACAAAGTAGGAAGGTACCAAAAATCACAGAAAGATAGTACAAAACAACAAGGAAAAACAATAAGAATTGGCAAACTCATGTCATAAAAATGACAAAGCTTTGTGTTCTAGGGTTAAAAAATTTCTATAATTAGTCTTTATATTATCTCATTAAAGTTTTTAGTTTCTGTAAGTTGGGTTAAGTGTTCCTTTTCTAACAATTTGTGCAAATAGTATTTAAATTTAATATATTAATTTTTAAAATATGAATCTATGATTTGTGAGTTTTAGATATTTTAATCCTGCAGAAGTCAAGTGAAGTCATGAGAAACCGTAATTATTTTCTAATTCATGCTAATGACTTTTTTAATGTTAAACTACAAATAATTTTATATAAGCAAATATTATAAAAATATTGTCATTACCATCATATAACTTCCCATTTTGTTCTGCTTGGACACCTCTTAAAAACCATTGTCTAGCCTGGAAGTAACATTCAATTTTAATTTTTATGTACTTAAACTTTTTACAAAGTCACTATTTAAAATATTTCATTATAATATAGATTTCTTTCCAACATATAAATAAACAAAAATAAATAAAATTTACAAAACATAATTATTAAATTATTTTTTAAATTAACGCACTTTCTCTTCTATGGCTTCAGAAACATGCTTGTCTTCAAGACCTTTCACATCACTTTTTACTAACATATTGTTGGACTTAATGGGAGAATCTTCTAATTCTCTCCGCCACTGAAGGCGAAACTGATCTAATTCTGTCTCCATCGATGTTACAGTCAATGAAGATGTGGATGAGGAGTCATCATCTTGGGCTTCTTCGGTGTCTTCTCCACCTCCGGTTCCGTCTCCAGTTCTTGATGATTCACCTCCTGATATTATTTCATCCTGTAAAATATATTACAGTTAATAAATCAAAATTAATTTTGCCATTTTGAAAATATCTATATGATAGATGTGCTTAAAAGAAAATCAACAAAACAAATACACAATTAAATTTAATATAGAGTTTCATAAATATTAAAAATTTAATAACACAATAGATTATTGTTATAGAAATTTCATAACTGTTTAACCATTCAAGTCATATTCAGTGAGAAATCCACACTTTTAAATGACACCAAATTAAAAAAATAAATCAGAACAAATAAACATTGTGAGTGCAGTATTATTATTTTGCAAATGGCAGAATCCTGTTAGCACAAATTTGATTGTGTTTGAAAACACATTTCCTATTATTTTACAATTAAACATGGTTCTCCAGAATCTATCAAGTCCAGTAAAAATGAGCAAAGGTCTTGAGTGGTCATAATTGCTGAAATGTTGAAAATTAAGATTATTTCAGTATCAATACCAGATTAAAGGTACACTTATTGGAGGTAATATCCTCAAATTTTGTGTGTCTGCATAAAATATTTTTCTTGTAATGTCTGTCTACATAACCCATATGTGTTTGTAAGCATTTTGCAATAGAACTCTGGCCAAGTTATGAATTGATTCACTTGGATCAAAGTTGATACAGATAATTAGAATGATAGAAACATAAACAACAGTAATTAATTAATTGTGCTCTGTAAACCCATAAACTGTGATTTGCATTTAATACAGTTAGCTAATCTTAAAAAAATCTTTATCTACAAATACAACTCAACAAAAATCTTAACAAGAATAGATCACTTTCCTAGTGAGACATTTGACATTCTTGCTACCGTGAGAAACCCAAGCTAAATAGAGAAAATTTACTTAAATAATTTTGATAAAATTTTAACTCTCAACCACAATAGCAGAAAGTGATTCCTTTTCCTACGGACTTGCTTCCTTGTCCAGAGATGACACATCTGACTTTGTCACTTTTGACTGTATTGAGAACATAACATCAAAAATTGCTATTGGTTTAACTAACTTACATTACCAAAAATGGACATAGAACCCAACAGGAGGACCCCAAATAAAAGAGAAGGAGCCCGTCGTCATAGTGAGTCAAGTGTTCGCTCCAGTCTTGGATTACACTGCCCATAAAAATCATCTCCAGGGACTAAATCCTAGTGAAATCCTGCATGCCAAGTGACAACACCATCCTCCTAAGATCTCAACAAATGGCCAACAAATTCAAGTAAATACCAACTCGCGATCAAATGTAAACTCTTTCTCTCTCTCTCTGTTAGGGATACAATACAATTTAATTATTATGCTATTTGATTACTATACAGTTAACTCTAATATATATGTATAATCCTATACTGTACATATAAATGGTTATTTGTTTGTGTTACATAAGTAGTAGAGTGCAACTTCTTTCAGGAACGCTGTCTCTCGAACCTCCTACATCCCAAATCTGACCACCTACACACAACCGCTCATGCATAGACGAACTTAGTGGCCATCAAGGTTTTTATGTCTATCCATAAGACACAGTGGTGCCAATCCTTCAGTCAATTGGTGTGTAAGCATAGGGAATGTTTCCCCTGTCCCTATGTTTTCTATTGCAGCCTTAAAAAACCATTGTGACCACCCCATCTCCACCAGCATCCATAGTGACATCAACAAATCCAGCAACATTTACTCCATCTACTGGACTCGTGCCCACCAGGGCACTCTCGGTAACGAGAGGGCCGATGAACTCGCAAAGAGCGCCTGTGAAGACAACAACCTTCCAATTGTCTACAGCAAGATCAATATTAAAACTATAAAAAACATCATTCGCAACGACCTCCTCGATCTTTGGCAGGAGGACTGGGACAGACAAAATCATCCCATCACCCATCAACTCATTCCTAACATCAAGACCTTCCTTGCTATCCCCTGGTATAGACCGACCCANTGAAAAAAATGTTCATTTAAAATAATTCCCAACAAAATGCAAATAATAATTTATACATAAATGAAGATAATTTGTAAAATAATTTATCTACACTCACTGACCAATGAATTAGAAATCCCCATGCATATTATGTTAATGTAATTTTGCAGCTTATATGCAAAACACTTGAGTCATGTGAGTTATCATATGTTCATAAGCTCCTATTTAAGAATGCTGTTGGTCAGTATGATCATTAAGTTTATAAAGCAAAGGACTTGATGGAATTTCAAAAAAGGCCAATTGTGGGTGCCCATCTTGCTGGAGCCACAATATCAAGAACTGTAGAGCTGACTGGTTTTTCCAAAGGTGAGATTCCCAAGTGTTCAATTGGTGGAAAAATAACCTGCAGTCGATGTCTAAAAGAAGCAACTGTGACTCCAAAACAGTTAATCAGGAATGCGACCGATGTCATCTGAACAGGCTAGTGCAGGAAAAAAAGGGCTTCCTCTGTGCAGCAATTGACAGAAGAATTTAATGAATCCCATCCTCAACCCATATCTATCTGAACTATGCTCAAGGAATTGAAAAGAATTGATATGAATAGTTGCAGGCCTATAAGAAAACCACTGATTTCTACAAAGAACTGAAAAGTTTGTGTACAGTGGTGCCAAGAGCACTGAGATTGGACATCTGAAGACTGGAAAAAAGTAATATTGTCAGACAAATCATAGTACACCTTATTCTGTACCAATGTTTGACAGAGGGTTTGGAGAGAGCCCCATGAAGCAGTGGATCCTGCTTGCCTCATTAACTCATCAAGCTTCTGGTGTTATGGTATGGTGCACATTCTGTTGGGACAAAACTGATCCACTGATGTTCCTGGAGGGTCGGGTGACTTCCAACGAGTACCCTAAGCATTGTTGCCAATCACGTTCATCCTGCAATGTTGCATTTTTTTCCTGCATGTGATGGCTTTCTTTCATGACAATGCTACTGTCCATCGCGGAAAAATTGTTCAGCAGTGGTTCAGCAAGCATGAAGATGACTTTTGCCACACATCCTGGCCACCACAGATCTTAACCCTATCGAGAATGTATGGAACATGTTATGACGACAGATCCACCAGCAAAGTTCGCTTCTGTCAAATCTATGATAACTAAAGAAAACTCTAGTGAATTCCTGGTGTGCACTGGACTTAGAAGCATTTCAGCACCTTGTAGAACCCATGTCAAATCATATAAATGATGTAATTCAAGCTAAAGGTGGTCCAATAAAATATTAAACTGCTGTTTCTAATTCGTTGGTCAGTGAGTGTAGATATGTAGTTTTAAACATTCATGAAAACATTATACAGTAGAACCTCGAAAACTCGACCTAATGTGGACCGAAGGGTGGCCGAGTTTGTGAAAATGCCGAGTTATCGGGAATGGGGTTAAAAAAAATAAGTACGAGTATTTCCTCAGAAAATACTGTACTGTACTTGTACAGTATTTACTTGTACAGAATATAACAGAGAATAAACTGCCCAAATACCCTTAAACAAAGGAAAAGTACGTCCTTTATGAAGGCATAGAGCC